CAACGGACAGGTTTCAGAAGCAAAGTTAGTTCAGCCAAAGTGTTCTTTCACTTTCATAACCAGATTAAAATTCTCACTGGTTCATTCAACAAATCTAAATACAGCACAAGATAGTTTCTAACATTTATTCAGTCTGAGGCCCTATTCGAGCTAAATTAGTTTTACCAGAGGAGGTGCGGTACTGTAATAGGATAGGTTTTTACTTCTCATTTCCGTGTGGGGTGATGCCTATTATCAATAACAATTCCAAATGATGGTGCATAATCATAGCATGCTGGAAGGAACATACAATGAAATGAGTTATTTGGTCATGAACTTGAGGATTAGGATGTAAGTACTGTTCTAATGAGGCTTGTGCTCAGGCTTGTTTGGACATACCTGGTTTGAACTTAGTGACCCCTTCTCCTACACTCTCCACCGTTCCTGCCCCCTCGTGCCCCAAGATGACGGGAAACAGCCCCTCAGGGTCACTGCCACTCAGCGTGTACGCATCAGTGTGGCACACTCCTGTAGCATGGATCTGAAAAGGGGTGCACACACGCGCGCACACACACATACACACAATTATTTTTAACATTAGCGAGAATAAAAAACTGTCAACAATATTTCTGTTCTCGACTTTTCATTACAGTTTCGGTTTTACCTAACTGATGCTAAAATGACGCCTATTCAGAGGAATCTGAGATGCAGAGTCGACTAGCATTCATAGATATAATGTGTTTATTCAGCCATTCAGACGTAGAGTAGGAACCTGGATCATAATTTTGGAATACAGTAATCAGTGTTTTGCTGTTCAAGCTATTTACATGCCATTTGTGCCCTTTGTTAAGTGTGATGAAATGAAATCTGACTATTTGCATACTAATCAAATGATTAGTTTCTATTCAGTTTCTAAGAATTATTGAAAATAACCACGTTTACAAAGAAAACTCTTTTACACCCTAAACTGAGCACCCCTGCACCAGAGTGTGGCGTAACTGTCTCAGTAAACATGACACGACCCAAGATGTCTCACAGCTGCTTTCTGGTTAGTTTCAGTTCATGCAGATTCCATGGATGGACAGATAAAATGGACAGAGGAGCAGAAATTTAACCATTTGAACTTAGCGCTGAACTGCTTTGATTAATCCTCTGCTGTAAGAACTGATACAGACGTTTTGGTGTCCGTAAATGTGTGTGCGTGTATGTATGTATGATACGGTCCCTCTTAAGCTAGGAGGTCAAGATATATTGAGCTTTGAGTTTGCAGCACTCTCTGTGTTTCCCTAGCAGATACAGTAATAGCCAGACTGTGCCGACTGAGTCTGTATCGACAGCGCGGTTTTCGGTTTTAGATCACTCACTCTCTGACAGTGTGCTGTCTTTTAAGGCCAGATAATATTGCATTTTACTTTGTGATTTTGTCTGAGTTTCCCAATAGTTTGTGTGACGTTATTTTTCTCTCAGATGTTCTGTTATTTGGTTGATTCTCATCAGACAGGTGATGTTTTAGATTACCTTCACTCGAACTTCATGGGCCTTGGGTGGTGCTACCTCCACCTCCTCCAGAGACAGGGGCTTGCCGGCCTCCCAGGCCACCGCCGCCTTGCATTTGATGACCTAGGTTAAAAAATGACACATGCAATTCAGATCTATAGTCACAAACTCAATAGCCTTTTTAGAAGTTCACTCACTGAGTAACTTCTGATGGTGCACAGTGTGAGCGTGCAAAACACTCATCAGCTTCAGCAAACTTTCATTCATCCTCAAGTCGCTGAGGGACGTTTTTTCTTTACTCTCTTGTTGCGTCAGAGACAGGGGGGGGCACTGAGGAGTGTGAAAACGGGTCAGTTGACCACAATAAATCTTTGTGCAAAAACCTCCCACTAACGTTACTTCTCCTGCAACTCGTGCACAGAGCACAAATGTGCGCTCGCCTGACGTCTCAAAACTCCAGCTACCACACTGAACTCCTTAAACGACACAGAGCTAAATCCCGATGTTTAACCCGTTTTAAACGTTTTAAGAGTTAATTAAATTCAATATTAACGGGTACTCACTGTTCCAGCCGTAGCCATGTTCAGCAGCCCCAGAGCGAAGGGCGAGATTGAAGAAAAAACAAAAAAACAACACTCAGCGCATCGGATTTCCACCAATCACAGAAGACCTAATATACACAGCCGACCAATCAGAGAGGAGGAAGGGTTTAAGGACGTTACTTTTCTCAACGCTGCAGCAGCGCTGTGGCTAACGATTGGTTCAAGAGAATGAAGAAGGGACATCGAATCGAATCGATTTTTTTTTTTAGGATTTGGAGTGGAGAGTGAAAAATGCACGACAGTGTAATTCAGAACACAGAAATATGAAAAAAGAAAACACAGAAGAACTTTCTGTTCAAGTTTATACACTTTATCCGACTCCATTCTTACATGTCCAAAGGTCAAAGATCAGAAACTCTTTTTCAACTATTTTGGCCTTGAAACCACAATCGAAGACTGGGGCAAAATATCCGTAGCTTAATCTTGGACCTGCCAGTTCTGAAACCAAAAGATGCTTTTATTGGTCAGATATGTCTCTCCTCTACTTAAAATTCTATTCACTTCTATTCCTTATGCAGTTACATATTGGAATTCTCTTGTAAAAAAAAATCCTGATTGGAATATATTTGTAACTTACCTTCTAAATATCTGTTAACCAATAAAATAAAGGAAGTCTCTTACAAAATTATACATAGATGCTATCCAGTTAACCAATTTCTTGCTAAATGTAAAAATTATATCAATCTCAACTGTTCTTTCTGTGATCCAGAAACTCTTCTACACCTGTTCTGGCACTGCTCCCACACAAAAAAAAAACTCTGGAAGGATGTATGTAGATTTATCATGGATTGTATTGACGGTGATTTTAATCTCTCTTTGGTTAATGTGTTGTTTGGCTTCAGTCAGATAATAAAGAATAAAGTCAAAGAATATTATATTTTTAATTTGATCATTCTTTTGGCAAAATTTCATATACATAAATGTAAATTTACTCACTCCAAACCAGATTTTCTCAAATTTGAAATAGAAGTTAAACAATACGTAACTTCTATTACCCTCGCCAAAAACAAAAAAAGCTGTCAAAACAATGAATATATGCACCTTATATTTAATTTGTTTTTGTAAAAACGTGTTCTTTCCCCTCGCTTTTTTCTCTTTTTTTTTGTTTAAACTTTGTTGTTTAAATTTGTTACCACATCTTTTGTTTATGCAGTTTGTTATCTGACTTAACTATATCTGTTCTGCTTTATACTGCTTTTGTACAAATGTTATTATCTAATAAATAATTAAAAAAAATAAATAAATAAATAAATAAATAAAAATAATCTTGGACCTTAATTAGAAAATGATTTGCTTGAGAAACTGATAAGTTCCAGCCTCGTTTGTGTGCAAAGGTCAAAAGGCAGAAACGCTTTTCACCTATTTTGGCCGTGTGACCACTTGAATGGCCAAATGTGTAGCTTTATCTTGGACTTTATTTAGAAAATGTTTTATAAGGGCTTTCAAATTATGGTATTTTTTTCTAAATAAATATTTATGTTATCCAATTATTCTATTAGCCCTATACATGAATGTAAGGTCGAAAAGAGTAGACCTCTAGTCTGTCACTTCTTCTAAGACAGGGGTACCCAATCCTGGTCCTGGGGATCTACCACCCTGTAGTTTAGCTCCTACCCTAAGTCCAGGAAGTGAAGGCCTTCAGAGGCTTCTGAATATTAGAGCCAGGCGTGTTGGCTCTGAATTCTCAACAGTGCTAGATTTGCAGAACCATGACTGAGCACCTCTGGTCTAAGACGTGGGGTGTTATTTGAAATCTTTATGTACCTTTATGTATCCAATAACCACTATAAGAAAAACAGATCAGCTGTAACATTAACACCACCTCCATGTTTCTACACTCATTGTCCATTTTATCAGCTCCACTGACCATTTAGGAGCACTTTGTAGTTCCACAGTTACAGACTGTAGTCCATCTTTTTCTCTGCATACTTTGTTACCCTGTTCTTCAATGGTCAGGAGGCCCACGGGACCCCCCCAGAGCAGGTATTATTTGGGTGGTGGGTCATTCTCAGCTGCTGGAGTTTTTAACCACTGTGTCCACTTACTGTCCACTCTGTTAGACACTCCTACCTTGTTGGTCCACCTTGTAGATGTAAAGTCAGAGATGATAGCTCATCTGCTGCTATATGATGAATTATGCTTAATATGACCTAAAACATGAACTGTTAAAGTAAACAAAAGATCAATTTTAATTCCAGGTTGACTTCAGGGCAAAAAAATCGTCGCAGCTCATTAGAACAGTTTCTCTGCTCTCCAAACAGCAAAGTGTGATAAGCAGGTCACCAAGAATGGGACAAAAATATATTTGTAAATTTATATATATATATATATATATATATATATATATATATGAATTTTAAAATGCTGTTTATCCATTAGTGAGTTTATTCATAGGGTTTTTGCAAATAATAACATATGATGTTATTTCTTTAATAAAGGTGGTAATTAATCTTAATATAGCACTGATATTTCTTGAATAAAAGTGTAAAGACCACGCCTATATATCAAGAAAAAAAGAAGTTTGCAATTATTGCTGATAGAAACAACACAAATGAACACACAGTTTAATGATAAGGACTTATTTTTACTAGTATTAACCTTTATTTGGTATATAATAATGTTTATTTCTGGGTAGCTCCACCCCTGGGCTACAATATTTATATTATTTAAGACTCTTGAGTTCCTGTTTATTCCAGTTTAAGAAATGTGACAACTAAGAAATGACAAATCAGTGAATAAAGCACTTTAACTAACACTACTGCAGTATATTATTAAAATGTAAACTATAAATGCAATTACTTTGGTAGATATAACTGGTTATTGGAATTCTCAGCCCCTTAAATTCGCTCTCAGCCACAACATGTGCATATTGGTCGAGTGCTAGTTATCAGACCATCTTAATTAAGAAACAAGGACATAATCTGTACAAACACTACAGATTTTATTTAGCATTAGCATGGTAGCGCTGCTGTTGTACAATCCATGTGGTAAAGTCTGTAATATGTCAGTGACTCAGAATAACAGTCATGCCCCAGTTTATATCACTTTCTTCACCACACTAACAAACTATTCATCACTGGACACCCAGATTTTCAGATACAGTAGAGCCTCTCTGCACCTAAACCATGCCAAACGTGAACATTTAGCACTTACTGCACATTTAGCATGAAATAATAACATCCTCCCCAAAAAATACACAGTAGATATAAAAAAAATGTAAAAGTTCAGCTGTAAGAAAAGAGGCACCAGTTTTTACAGCCTGAAAACTGAACCAGCCTCCATTGGCTGCTTCTCTCTCTGTGGCTTCATCCATAGAAGCCTTGACTGAGGAAGATAAGAAACTGTTCCCTTCAACATCATCTTCCACCTGTTAAAAAAAAATAAATAAATAAATAAATAAATAAATAAATAAATAAGTAAAAAAACATGAGCTTTTCATATTTAAACTGACACATTTTTCCTTGTATTTTTGACCATTAGGGTTCATTAATAACATTTGAATGAATGTACAAAGCAACAGTCATGACTCGTTTTTATATGACAATTAGCAAAAGATGTTTTGTTGCTTTTCTAGGTAAAAATAATTAAGCACATTCTCTACAGAAAACACATGTGTTTCTGCATATATATATGTTTACTTATTTTCACCTTGAAACCACATCTGAACCAGGATGTAAATGAGCTCTGTTCTAATTGGCCGGCGTATGTTGTTAACAGGCTGAAACACTCCATATGACTTAAATGTGAATGAGCAGAGCTAAAATGCTGTAGGCTGAACAGGTAGATCTATAAAATGTATTGTTTTTGTGAAATCACAACCATGATGTTCAAACGTTTTGAAAGTCATTTTAAAAACAGTTATGAAAATTTAGTTTTCTGTTATATTTTATGTCCATTTAAAGTTATAATTTGTACAGTTTAGGGAAAGAAACAAATGCAGAAGTAAAAATATCTGTAATACAGTAAAATGTCTGTCCAGAAGGCTGTTGGTTCAAATCTTATCACAATAAAAGGAAAGTTCCAGTAATGTGTGAGGCAATGTGTTGGGTCCCAATTAAATAAAAGAAAATTCATACGATTTCCCTTTTAAATTTACCTTTAGTCATGCTACACACTTTGGTCCACAGACAACAGTTTGTAAGTGTGTCAGAAACCACATACAAGTCTATCTGAGCTTACAGTCTCCTTGAAGGTGTAATTCAAACCATTAGAAACAATCCATGCTAAATAATAAATTGTTAAATATTTTACTTTGTATTTTTATGAAACTTCAGCAGCACAAGAGCCTCTCTAAACCTTCGTCCTCATTAAGAATGCATTAAAGAACATCGTCTATCCAAATCCAAAATTACAGAAACATGACGCTCATCTCAGAAAGCTCAACGTTTGCGTTTAACGGCTCTAACACACTTGACTGAACTCGTCAGGTAATAATCACACCTTTCATGAGCTGAATGAGCGCGTTAGAGGTGGGAAATGAGAAAGTGTGCAGCTCGTGGGAAGCCAGTCAGACTTTTCTCCTCCTCACAGCAGCTCCACTGTAAAGTCCAACATGTATCCAGGCCAACCGTTCGCCCCATGTTAACTGAAATGTGTCTCTCACCTCTGAATCCACGACCGCCGCCACCACCGCCTCCTCTTCCTCCTCTGAACCCTCCTCCTCTACCACCTCCAAATCCACCTCCGAATCCACCTCCGCGACCTCCACCACCTCTTCCTCCACGGAAACCACCTGCAGGCATTTGACTTATTAGTGTCTTTCATATAGATTTATTCATATTTTATTTATATTTTTGAGATAAGTACATAGATACACAGGATATACTGAAATGGGAGCTGTGGGCTGATGCCAACATTTTTCATGTACATATCTGTAAAATGCCGATACAAATACATAATTGTTTTAAAGTAAGCACTGCAAAATAAATCTATACATCCAGAAAAGTGGAAAAAAGAAACAATTTGTTCAGACAGCAACAACATATGTACTGTCAACTTTCACTGTAAGTTAATTAAAACATTTCATCACAACATTTTCAAACAGTAGCTAAGCTCCGTCAATTTTCACCACTAACTGCAATCAACAAAATAAAAATAGCTGAAAAAAAAATTATATTTGCTATTCACCTTGTTTCCACAAAACTGACTTTCTGTGATCAAATGTTATACATATATTGCATGTTTTCCTGCATGTTTTCAGCAATTATAAAAGAGTTTGGAATACATTTAATTTTTGTCACTACTTTTTAATTTTTGTCTGGCATCTCTGGATCTCCTACTGAAAGACAAATTTTGTTGTATTTTGCAATATATTATTATCATTATTATTCTTCCGTGAATGTCTTTTCTGTATGTCTCTCTGAGCTAAAAAGGGGCAGCATTCCTTTTTAAAACCCTCTCGTCTCCTCCTCAATGCAGCTGTACCTCTCCAGTTTGCTATAAGAAGCATGTGAGTGAAAAATCACACAGACACTAAATCTTTGCATAAATGTGTTTAAGTTTCTAATGCAGGTTTTCACAACATTTCAGGCATCAATAAACTACCTTTCCATGAAGTTGAACAGAAAAAGTTTGACATTTAAAAATATTAATGAAACATTTCTGTTTCCTACAGGCTGCACCAACAAACTCAAGCATTAAAACGTTTGTCAAAAAAATCTTCTAGACAGAAGCTCATCTGCTGTAAAGGGCAGCTTCACATATAATTAGTAAAACTCAAACAAGAAACACATCCATTCTATGCAAGAAATGTCAAAAACAGGGTTAATCTGTTCTAGCCTGCATGATGCAGGACTGGGAATGTTGGTGAACCAGTGGAACTGAGGTTTGTGAAAGGCAAAACTCAGCACTTGGTCCGTCTTTCTTCTAGCAAGTGTGGAAATACACATTGAGCACCAAGTAAGCCCAAAGTGTTTGGACAACCTGCATTCAGACTTCTGATATGAAGTTTCTGTAGTGTTTTAAGGATTTGTTGAAATCTACTTTAATTCTAAGCTCCAAATCCTAATCCAGAAGGTCCAACAGTCTGTTTGGGCTCTTACCTCCTCGTCCTCCGCCTCTGCCGCCTCCCCTACCTCCACGTGGAGGCCCCTTCTCACCCGGGGGCCTGGGGAGGAACCTCTGGAGCGGCAACAGCTTCATGGGGTCGATGTAGAACTGAGGCACACAGCAAAGATGAAAGAATGTGAGTGAATTAATAATGTAACAACAATCATTCTGCATCACTTTCTAAACCAGGTGCGTCAGGCTGGATTCCTTACGGGTCACCGCTCTGCAGATTTTGCTGTAGATGGTTCTATATACAGCGTTCTTGAAAATGGTTCTACATAGCGCCAAAAAGGGTTCTTCTACTGTAACAAGCTTGACATCGTAACAATAGAAAAGCCCTTTTTGGCGCTATATAGAACCATTGTCAAAAAGGCTCTATATAGAACCATCTACAGCACAATCTCCATCGATCTGAAGAACGCTTTCATGATGTAAAGAACTCTAATCATGCAAAAAGAGAGTGTTCATGGCTCTATATAGAACCATTTTCCTTACTAAAGAACTCTTTAAGCGCCATTTTTTTTTTTTTAACAGTGTAGGTTCAGTTGTACCCAATTGGCTGAAATATCTACAAAAATGTGCAAATTCTGTATACAACATGGATCACTGCATGCATTTAAAAACTCTCAAATGCTTATTAAAGTGCCCACCTTCTGTAATTTCTTGAACGATGATGCCTTCATGTTTTCAGAGAGTTTGACTGAAAAGTACTGCAGCAATAATTAAGGGTTACACTGAAATCACATCAACGCGCTCAGCTTGAGGATATGACAATGTGTTTAAAATGCAGCCAACACACAGGATTATCATCACATAACGATTTGTTAGGGTTGCAAAGATGTTCTACAGGATAAAGGCTATATGTCCCTTGAGCGCCCAATGTTTTTTTCTAAAATCAAGGCTTCACACTAGATGTTGTAACATTGCTGTGAGGAATTGACTGAGCATTAGTGAGGTCAGGTACTGATGTTGTAGGGTCAGTTCTGGAAAAATTATGCCACTGCCAGCAGCAAGAGCAGACATCAGCGGAATGTTTGGTCAAGAGCTCTTATCTCATCTGAGACTCAAACGAATAATGAAGGATACAAAGTCTCGGAGCTGGCCGAAGATCTCGTCCACTTTCCCAATCTGCTCCTTGTTCTCCAAATACACAGGAGCGTTGAAATACGGCACTTTGTTGTCCTCTGTCACACATTTACAAACAATGTCGTCCTCACAGGGGTGCATGAACTCGCCCAGCGCTGAAAGTGACAAATTAACATACATATCAACCACAAGCAGATGCTGTCATTTCATACTGTATTATAAGGTAACACAGATGTACTAGGACACTGAAAAGTCTTTACAGTATATATAAATATATTACAGTGCATAAAGATTTTAAGTATGATGGTTTTGGCCGGTCAGAGTTCTGATTTAAACCCTACAGAGAATATTTGGTCTCACATTAAACACAAACTAGCTTAGCAATGTTTTTCATCAATGCTGAGTAGATCAATACTGACTCTTCTTTCTCTAAGAATGTCAGCACAATTACATACACACACACACACACACACACACATACTTAAATACATACATTTATTTCTGGAGTCTTACAAGGTGAAGGTGTGAACGGTCTCATCGTTTATTAGAAGAGTTTCATTCCAAAATGCTGCATATGGACTGGTAACAATTTTGATATTAAGAGGTGAGCAACGAACCCACTGTCACAAAAACAAGTTATTCTTATCTCGCTAATAAAACGACATTAAGTATAATATAGCATTGACATATGTCTATGCCCAGTCCAAACAATGCATAGTGAAAAAAATCCATTAGTGGCTTTTCATATACATTTATATACACACACACACACACATTTGTGTACAATTAAACTCAAATGGCACATACTGTGAAAATGAATTTCCTCTTGGAAAACAAAGAATCTGAAATAATCTTTTCACCAATCTGTCTATCTAGCTATTCAAGTGCTCTCCTAAAAACAAACACCGAGCACCCATCAACACCCTTACCGACGACGTGCTCCGGAGGGCCATAATCCTGCTGTCTGTTGTTGAAGCCACCTCTGCCTCCTCCTCGTCCACCTCCTCTACCACCACCTCCTCTCCAACCTCCACCACCACCACCTCCTCCGCCGCCTCTCCAACCTCCACCACGACCTCCTCGGCCACCGCCTCCACGGTAAGACATACTCAAGAGCTCAAACCTGTCAAACAGAGTAAAAAAGCAAAGAGTTATGAAATTGCGTCTATAATGTTAATGCGCCTCTATGATAAAGTTCTTACAATACTGACATGGCTTGTTTTGATTGGTCTGTTTCAGTCCATCTTGCTTCTCTTAAAGGGAAATGATTGATCAGGAAACTGATTTTTCGAAACATCAGCATGATTACACTGTTACGTCGTAAATAAAGTCATTCAGCGTGGTTTTAAATTATAGAGTCAGGATTGTTCACAGTGGTGGTGATAGGAACCAGACATCCACGTCTAAAAGCTCCCTCACAGGAAGTTATTACATGAAATGGTTATGAATTCACTGCCTGATGTCACAGACACTGTTTTATGAGCTTTGAGAAGATTTTGGCCTTAAAATCCATTCATGGGATACATAATATGCTTTGTGAGACAAAACAGTCCCCAAAGAAAACTTATCATTTCAGATTTTCCACTATTTTACAATTATCAACATTCCATATAAAACTCACAAGACACCTGTAGGTTCACTGGTGGTTTTGAAAAGTAAAAATGTCTGTGTGTGTCATGGCGACCCCTGCTTCCCATCACCACCACTTAACACCAAACCACTCTGAATCACTCTGTTTCTTACTGAAAGTTTTCTACTGCACTAAATATGTGGTTTACAGAGGTTTATCTAATTAAAACTAACTTGGAAATATGCGAGAAGCTGTAGAAGCTATCCAGCGCCGTTAGCGGTGCCGGTTTGGTGTTGCATTGAATTGTGTCCCCCGCCATAACCTGCACCTCAAGGACCTTTTCGGCAGCTGTCGAGCCCGCCTGACTGAAATTTTAAATCACCACTCCTCTTCTTAGCACGGTCAGGTCGCTAATACACATAGGATTATTTATATTAAAAATATGTGGAAAATCACTCAAAAAGCCTTCTCACTGAGCTTGACGAAAACGACAGTGTAACGGTCGATATACCTAACGTTAACTATGAGCCCGACTTTTACAATAACTAATCCTTCGATTACAGAGTGTACTAAAAAAAAAAATCACCAAATTAAATTTATTTTATCTCCAGTAGTTAGTAGTTAAGGGCAGCAATCTGTAATATTTGGCTGCAAATGTGCTTCCGTTTCTAACGAGGCTGCGATAAGAGCCCCGGAGGGATGCAGGGTTTGCGGGGGTTCGGATTATGACGCTACATTGTCCGACGTACAAACTTAATGACCTTGTTATCTCAAGATAAAATTTGTTAAACCCAGAAAAACTGCAGATAAAATAATCATAGTCTTCAGTAAACAGCTGATGGGCTGTTTAGGGCAACACGCAGAACAACCCTGATACGCCAGCGTATCGTTAGAATCCGAACAAGAAGTCGTAAAACATTCCGAGTATAAAAATAAGAGCGTGCTCCGTTTATAAAACGGTCTGATACTCACTTGAAGCCGAAGACAACCCAAACGAAGCTCTGAAATGCTAAAAATATAAGAAATAATGTAAATATTCGGGTAAGAGGAGTAAATAAAGCCGCACTGAACTCAGCGCTGCTCTCCGTAGAGTCACACGTGGGGACCACTGCTACCGTAAAGCAACGGAGAGTGTCGTAAAACATAATTTAAGAATATGCTCGTGGTCGCCAGGGGGCGCTGAAAGACTCATTTCAGTTCCTGCAGCTGGCTGGTCAGTGGTGTGTTTTAAAAGGGAATTATTATTATTTTTTTAATTTCTGCATAATTCAACACCAAACCACTCTGAACGACTCTGTTTACATCTTAACCGTTAAATAAAGTGTCGCATCAGCAGATCTCTGCTGCTTCCTGTTGGACCAACCGGCCAGGTCTTGAGCATTTCTGACCCGTATCGGACCCACAAGTTTAATACCTCTAAAATCTCCCTTACTGAACATTTTTACGTGAAATGGATACAAATACGCTGCCTGAGACGTCGTTTACATTGTTTACGTGCTTGCATGTTTACATTATTTACATGACATTGACAGTTCTGAGAAGATTTTGACCTAAAAAAAATATGAGTCCTTTTATAGTGGAGGGGTACGTGCACTGTGTTCTAAGGCAAAAAAAAAAGCCCAGTAAGAAACCTCTGATTTACCTAGAGGTGGGCGATATGGCAAACAGTAACATCGCAATACTTCAGGAAGGTTTGTGATACACAATGTGTCACCATGTTTATTTTTTCTGACACCTGATAAGTTAGAACTATGGAAGTCCAGAGAGGCCACGAGGTAGTTATAATTTTCTGGATTATTATCTTGAGATAACTTAATTGTCTTGTGATCTCAAGATAACTAAATTGTTATCTTGAAATAATGAGTTAGTTTTCTTGTTATGTTGAGATAACAAAAGTTGTTATCTTGACATAACGGGTTAATTATCTTTTTATCTCAAGAAAACAAAGTTGTTATCTTGGGATAACAAGATAATAAACTTGTTATCTCAAGATAAGTTAGTTATAATAACAAAGATAACAAAGTTGTTATCTTCAGATAACGAGTTAATTATCTTATGATCTTACGATAACTACTTTTTATCTTGAGATAACAAGGTCATTAATATGTTATCCTAAGATAACAATCCAGAAAATTATAGCAGCAGCTCATGGCCTTTCCAGACTTATGTATAGAACAATTAGAGCCACATGTATTCAACACAATGTATTGAACATTTCACACACTGTGCTGCATGAAATCTAACTAAACAGGACTAAATAGTACTGACGATACTGACGCTCAGAAAGCCATATTGTGATGCACCTGATACTGATAAATACTGCTATATTGCCCAAGAAAAATAAATATGGCATACTAGACTAGTGTTATCGTTATGAATAGGCTATGAAATCTGCTCAATTGTGAGGTTCAAATATGAATACTGAACAATAACTACAGAATAACTTCAGAACTCCCTAAAACACTGTCCCATGTTGCATGATGTCCTATAACACCACTGTGATTTGACTGAGTTTGACTCATTTTGAATAGCACTTTGTTCATTTGTTCATTCATTCACTTGGTTTTCTGAGTGTCAGTATCATCAGTACTTAAAAATCACTTTCCACCTGCATGTTGGATTAATAAAGGAGCCTAATTAGTCCTGTTTAATTAGATTCAGTGCAGCACAGTGTGTCGAATGTTGAATACATTGTGTTGAATACATGTGGCTCTACTTAGCTCTAACTTATGAGATGTCAGAAAAAAATAAACATGATGGCACACCATGTATCGTAAAACTTCCTGAAGTATTGTGATATTACATTTGGCCATATCGCCCACCTCCAGGTAAATCTGAGTTTTCTTAGGGGGCTTTTTTTTCTACCTTAGAACACGCTGCACATACCCGTCCACTACAAGAGCATTCATAAAACTTAGTTTTAGGTCAAAACCTACTCAAAACTATTAATGTCATGTAAACAATGTAAACAATGTCTCAGGCAGTGTATTTGTAACCATTTCATGTAAAAACTTTCAGTGAAAGAGATTTTAGAGGCATTCAGCTTGTGAGTGAGATGCAGGTCAGAAATGCCCAATGTCTGTGTGTGGTCCAGCAGGGGGCAGCAGAGGTCTGCTGATGTGAGGCTTTATTTCTCTCAGGGTGGGGGGCCAAGCAGCTGCTTTTAAATGGCAGTCAGGAAAGCTGGACTCCACACAGTGTCCGCACACACACAGGGGAAGACCATATCTGTAAATAGCGCTCGGGTTCCTTCCCCTCTCCTGTCTCCTTTCTCGTCTACTTCTCGTTTTTTCTGTTTTCTGTTTCCCCCCCAATGCCTCAGGCAACTGTCAGCATCCTGCGTGGGAACATGAGTGTGTTCCACACACAAAAAAGGACAGAGAGATGGAAAGAGAGAGATAGAGAGAGGGAGGGAGAGGGAGTAGGAGAGTCAAGAGGAGTGCTGCACTTTGTCTGTTTCACTTTATTACTCCATGTTATATATCTCGCACCGCAGATGCCCTCATTCTTCCCCTTCGCCCTTTTAGGGGATAAATTCAGACTCTGTGACTAAGGCTAAATGGGCCCGTCGGAAACCTGGGTGCTGCCGAATGTTGAGTTGGTCTCTAAAGAGCATCCCCGAAGGCTGTGGGCGAATGTCATGAGCTGTAGGCGAAAAGCTCCTACCGTCTGCTGATTACTCACAGCGGCTCAGCGCTAGCCACAGCGCGCCCAAAGAGGCTGTTCGGAAAAGTATAAGATAAAATATTCTAGAAGGTGCATTTCAAGTGTAGCCTACTACACAAAACGGCGTGCACTTAACAATTTTCTGAACAAGTTGGTAAGTGGGCAACATGTGGGATACAAATACGTGAAGTATTGAAGCACGTTGAAAATTGGTGCCTCCACACTGGAGTCAACTGAGCAGTTAACATCTCATCATACTTTGGCTAATGTGCGAAGGTGGTGGGGAGGCTGAACCACTCATGATTTTGGCCGCATTGGCCTCGGTGACTTGTAAAAGGTGATTCTGGAGTGGCAACAAAACCATTAAACCAGCAGTGGTCTTTTTTTTCCAAAAGGTTTAGAGGCAAATATTGACAGTATTCTCATGATGTCACAATTGCACTGCCACCATTTTGGTAGCAACATCAAGTTCACTCAGTGCTTTGGATGTTTGTAATGAGATAAAGACACAACCGATCAAGCAAAGGCAGTAAAACATTTTTTTTTTTTTTTTTAAATCTAATTGTTAAAATGTGTACTGACTTGATTTTATTTGATTTGTTGCTGAAGTGATAACAAATGAAAGCTGAAATCTAAACGGCTGAGATTTCTCCTGCGTTACTAGTGCCCATCCCAAACTGCATACTAGCTCACTAAATAGTGCGTAAAAATAGTGCATATCCCATTAGAAGTGCACTCATTAGTGTAGTATGTTAAGTACAGAAGTGTGTGGTTTGGGATGCGGCGTTAGATCTGCCAGTGAGACGTGTTCAACAGCTGCTCTGCTGTGCTGCTAGTTAGCAGCTCATTAAACACCTCCAAGAGAAAGTTTGAGGGGTTTGTTGATTAAGAGCATTTATTGTGGTACATTAATGCATTTATTGAGGTAAACTGATGTTGTTTCATATTTGCCAAGTTCCATAATTCATTTTACGTTTAAGGGCACCTCGGTGTAACTGCAGCATCATTTAAGGTGGAACGGAAAATTCAAATGAGCAGCTGGTGAACAAGAAGCTTCAGCTTTATATCTTTGTGTGAGTGTATTATGAAGAGCTTTGGCAGTTTTGGTAGCCACTTTTATTAGTTTTTATAAAATTTCTCACACTGGAATGTTCTGAACTCTGGAGATGTGTAGGTTATACGGATCCACCAACCTAGCTAATCTTCTTCTTATATTGTTTTCTGGAGACGCATCTAAAGTGTCCATATATCTTTTCATTTGTTTTTCGTGGTCATTCTGGTCTGTTTTGTTTGGTTTTTATCCATCTCCAGGGCAGTATCTGCAGTAATGGCCATTTTTGAATGAACAGGTCGCACGTATCGCACGTTTGGGTTTGCTCGTTTACTGTTATCTTTTGCTCTTTAATCTTGCTATTAACCCTTCTGGTTACCTGCTTTAACTAAATACCTATTCTGTGTCTTATTGCGTTACCCTTACAACGTTGTTTTTTGTTTTCAGTTCTAACTAACCGTTATTTCTCTGTTTGGACGCTGACAAAATGGCGGCCGCCACTGAACGCGAGCTCCGGATGCTGAGCAGGGAGCTGCGGCAGTTGGATCAGCAGATCAGGGCTCTCCTAAAGCACCAGACCGAGATCCACGAGCAGAAAACCCGCTTGGAAGCAACCCGGGATGCGTCCTACTCGGTTGTTTCAAGACCAAGCCCGGTGGCGACTTCTACTCCACCGGATGGATCACTACTACCACGTTTAACACCAGGATTGCCCGCCTTCACGCCCGTGCTGGAGCAGGGCTGGGAACGCCAGCGTGACCGGGGAAAGAGAAGGTTTTCACCAATTCCTCCCCCGCCGAGCTTCACCTCCAGTAACCGGTTCGAACCGTTTCAGTGCTTCGGAGAGAGAGTCAGGAGAGTGTTATTATAATTGGAGATTCAATAGTGAGACATCTTAAAGTAACTTGCGCTTGGAGAAATTCGGCTGTCTGTTGTTTTCCAGGTGCCCGGGTCTTGGATATTTCCATGAAGTTTCCCGCAGCTCTGAGCAAACACTGTGACGTCGGCACCATTGTAATTCACGCAGGGGTGAATGACATTTCATCCCGCCAGAGCGAAGTCCTCAAGGAGCATTTCAGATTACTTCTAGACAACGTTAAGAAGAGAACCAAAGCTAGGGTCATCATCCCGGGACCGCTGCCCACCTACCGGAGAGGAAGTGAGGTGTTCAGCAGGCTCTACGCGCTACACTGCTGGCTCCAAGGCTGGTGTAAGAACAACGGTGCCGGCTACGTGAGCAACTGGAGTGTTTTCTGGGAGCGACTGGCATTCTACCGCAGGGACAGACTACACCTGAGCCGCCGCGGGTCTGTGATCTTATCCGGGAATATCGAGAAAGTACTACACCAGGCCTGACTGGACTTAAATGTAGTAGACAACGGACAGGTAAGTAG